GGCCGTCTGTTTTGGCTGGGCGGGAAGCAGCGGTGCGCCGGCCTCCTCTGTCATCCCGATGGAATCAGAGCGGAACCGCGAACGGGAGCAAGAGGTAAGCTTCGTGCAAACACCCACCAACTGCAATTTTACCCTACACCCTTGACAGATATGTTTTCCTAGGACGATGAAGAGGATTTCGCAGCCCTCTGCGCTCCCCCCACTCTGTCCATCACCGAGGAGATCCTGGAGTTGATCAACCAGAGCCGAGCAAGGGAGGCGCTGGTTTCTCCGGTGAGCAGACCTTGTGCTCGATAGACTCCGGCATGGAACTGAATACCCTTTCTGTTCCTCTCAGGATCGGGTCCTGGATCAGCCCACCGAGTCGCAGCCTCCACCTTACCAGAGCAACTTCACCTGCCCGCTGCCCCCAGTTGCTTCCACCCCAGAGGACACGCTCGGCCCGGACCCGCTGCGGGAGGACGTGGAAACTCGCCCGAACAGAGCTGTGGAAGAGCAGACCGCTAGCCCTCAAATTGGGCTGGAAAGGGCTCACGTGGTCCACGAGAAGGGGCAAAACGCATCGCGCGCAGAGGAAGCGTCGGAACAAGAAACAGATATTCGGAACCCGCCAGACAAAGGCGAGCCGGGGAAGCCTCTCATTTTGCCGACCCCGCCCTCAGCCCCAACAGACTTTCCTTCTTCCAACTCAGTCACGGAGGACCGCCAGGCGAGTCGTACATTTTATGAGGAGGAGGCCGCCGATCCCTCCACGAATCCAGATGACAGTCATCGAGCCAGCCCGAGCGATAAGCCAAAAAGAGGCTCCGCTCTGACCCAACGTGACAAGAGGATCATTGAAAAAATCAGAAGTTATTATGAGGCAGCCGCTGAGCTGGTGGAGGACGAAGAGGCAGAAGATGCCGGACGGGAACACGACGAGACGTCCGAGAGGAGGAACAGTTCCTCACAAGTCCCCACGGAAACGGTGAAAGATTCGGTATCGCGTTTCACAAGTGACCACCAAGACGAGGGCAGGAAGGAAGCAGTCGAAACGGAGCCCGATCACGATGTGGCGCTCCCTTCTCCAGCTGGTCCGGCTTCTCCCCTACTCCCGGAAGATTCTCATAATCATGATGGACATGCCGACATGCCGACAAGGCTCATGGATGTGGAAGCCAAAGACGGAAATAAGTCACCACTCTTCACCCGGACGGACGACGATGAGGTCTTTGTCAATCTGCCGTCAAGCGGCATCCAGTCCAGTCAAGTTGAGGAGAAAACCGAGCGGGGAAGCGGAAATTTCAGCAATGAACAATCACAGCAAGAACCCAACGAAGGAGCAGAGAACAGTCAACGAGAGGCGACCCCATGGCAAGAAGAAGGACCTTTTACGCAGAGTAATGACACAAGTCAAAGTGTTCCTCCAGAGTTGGCGAGGACCAAGGGGTCTGAATGGCAGCTCAAAGAACCAAAGGAAGAAAAGGAAAGTCTCACAGAATCTTCAGGGACTCTTTCAAGTACCCCACAATGCCCTGAAACGACGCCCGCTTGGACTGGAAGCAAACATAAAGGGACCAAGACGAGTAGAAACCTCGAAGAACTTCCAAGTCAAACTCAACTTGGACGAGGTTCCCGACAGTCCAGGATTGTGTCAACAAACCGGGCCTTGTTTGAGGGCATGGTCTCAGACATCACGGGAATCGGCTTATTCGAGGCCAGCCCTGTGGCGGACCCCTCGCTCATGGAGAACTCTGAGCGTATTCTGAGCAAAGTGCAAACTCTAGCAAGTATGTACAGTGCTAAAGCCAGCACCATGAAAGTCCCCTTGCATCAAAAACGAGCCATTTTTATTCGTAACAAAGCTGGAGATTTGACGGGACCATCTTCGCTTTCAAGCCAGACTCAGTGTCATTCTCAGGCAAAATGTAGGCTAGGAGGGAGGCGACAGCCAAAATGTGACGTCCCAAGTCAGGCCCCTGCCAAAGTAGCCCACACTCCCAGACCCACATCCGATGAGCAGACTGACACCAAGAACGGGTCCCAAAGATTCTCTCGGTCCAAAGCACAGAGCGGCTCCCTCACTCGGACCGAGAACGGGTCGCACGTCCCTGCTAAAGCACAGATGTTGTGTGAACGCCAAAACCATGGCGAGGCCGACGGCAAGAACCAAAATCTCACCGTGAGCCGGAGGGACATCGGGAGCCTGGATCAAAGGGTTACACCGGAAAGAATGGGTACCTGGTCTTTTTCAAGCGTTTCACAGTATCTTCCGCATATCGCTGGTGTTGGGTTCGAGAGCCGTGGCTTTTTCAGAAAACCGGCATCTTTGTCGACCCGTTCCCAAGCTATTTTCAACTCTTTAGATCGGTCGCTAAAATCACAGACCCCTTGTGGGCCAAACAGTATCTATGTGCGGGACACGAGAGGCTTCGGCCCGACGCCAACCCAAAAAGACTTTAGTGACGAGATGAACACAAATGCTTCCAGGTCGTTTTCCTCTCAATCTCATAAGATCCACTACTGTATGGAGGTTTGTTCATTGAGGTTCTCTCGTAGATGTCTCGAAAACGGCGGTGCCCAGTGAGGAGCCAAGCCCTGCCCGTCAACTCCAGTCACATGGATTCACCTTCTCCAGGCCCAGGGACTTCATCGCAGCGCCGAACAAAGAGCAGAACTGCGGTAGACCGGATGATAAACTCCAGTCAACCACCGCGCCAGAAGCGGTCTCGACTGCTGTACGACGCCCGTGTTCATCCGGTCTCAGTCAAGAGAAGAGTCACACCCTCAGGTATGTGCTTCAGACATCCTAAGTGGATCGAGTCTGTCTTCTGTCCTAAGGCAGATGACCTTTTTTTTTCTCCATGCCTGTCTGTAGGTCAGAGCTAAGAGAACATGTTTACACAGAGGACACAGCGTCTGTAAACAGCATTGTCAAACACTCGGCTCTGTCTTCGCACACACCACATTGGAATGCCTCCAAAGGTGAAGATGGTCATTCCCACTATAAACAGGATTCAGCAGCTGTGCAAGGCAAACGTGAGCCACACTGCCAGATCCCTGCAAAGGATCACGAGAATGCGAGTGAACCAAGCAAAGATAGGCGCAGTGTTCGCTCGGGGCTTGAACACTTGGCTTGGACCGCATCCAGCCAGGCTGATTCAAGCCCAGGAGAGAGGAGCCCATTGTCATCAGCAGAGGACCTGACATCCTCGCAACACCGGTCTCTGTTCGTATCGAAACCCAAACAGCTCCCGCGGGAGCGTCCGAGAGAAGCCTTGAACTTCATGGGTGGAAGACAACATGCTGCGAGTGTTTCCGCGGGCTCAAGCAAAGAGGCTCTGCCGACTATGAATAAGACAGAGTGTGAAGTCAACGGTCATTCACAACAAACGTGGAAATCTTTGCCAGATGTGAAAGCTCCCGGGCCAACATTCCAGAGGCCGCAACGAGAGGGACCAAGTCCATTGTCATCAATGCAAGTCCTGGAATCGAATGTGGCCCAAGCTTTCCCTCCAACGGCGGAGTCTCACGAACGCCTGCCAAAATTCACCGGCCAGAAGCCATTGGACTTCCAGGCCGTGACTAATACGGGAAAAGTCCATTTCAGCACTTTGTATGAATATGGGTAAGTCCATCCTTCACGGGACCAAAACCGACAACTAAACCAAGATGCAAAACCAAAGAACGTTTGCTTCACTTCTCGTTGTCTCGGAACGAATTAACAGCCGTATCGTTTTTTTGTTGTTTTCTCTCACCAGTGTTGTGAAAGCCATTTTTTTAAGATTTGAAAGTTGCTCAAGTGCTGCCACGCATGAACTTTCTGGATTTGAACAGACCCCGAAATGTTGACAAATTGTCTTTGTCGACCGCAGGAAACCAGAGGAGCGGGTTCCGGGACGGCCCACTAGCCTACCCATCTTTGGTTCCGCTTCAGGACGCCGCTCACCTCCCCGAGCCTCGTTGGATGTGTTCTGTCAAGTGGAGACATCGAGACCCCTCACGGTCACAAGAGACGAGGACACGCATTTCAGAGCGTCGCCCGCTGTCTTTCGGCATATCTCCGCTTCCACCATTAGTGCTTCTGCCCCCTCGCCGAACCCCACGCCGTCCTCCTTTCCTGTGAGAGTGACCGCATGCCCCTCCCCCTTCGTGGTCGCTCCTCTATCTCCCCCCGCCGCCTTGGCAGATGAAGACTTGGTTTCTCCAGAGACCCCATCCGGGACCCGCCTTGCATGCTTCTCTGCTCTTCCGTCATCTGGAAGGAGTTTCTCCGATAGGGCTCCCCCTCCCTCTTCCGCTCCGCACTCCTCTGCTTGTAGTCGGGCTTTGTCCAAAGGGGCAAGGCCTTCTTCCCCGAGACCGCCCTCTTCCTGCCGCTCTCCACCAGGGTCCCCCCCTGTTGCATCTTCGTCCACATTCACAAGATCCTTAGCTGCCTCTTGCATCAGTCAAACGTTGGCAAAAAAGAACAATGGCAGGCATCAAGTCCAAAGCTCATCCACACAGAGTCCTTCCCCCACACCATCCTTCCCCTCCTCTCATCTGCCACGATGTTCACCATCGCCTCAACTTTCTCACAGCCAGAAAGTTACGCTCACGCCAGCCTATTCCCAGCTGGGGGCCGCTACTGATCGGAATCCACGCTATCCGCCGTCCCCTCTCAGGCCCACTTGCCCCTCCCCGTCTTCCGTCCAGTCAACTTTTCACTCAAATTCACAAAACTTTTCTCCTCCTTCGTCTCCATTTATAAGACAGAGTCACCGTCAGCCTTTCTCCAGCGCCTCCGCTCATCCTCATCATCACTCCCTCCGCCACAACGTGGCCTTCGCACAGAATGACAGCAGCAGCATTTGCTTGCCTACAAGTTCGAATTATGGTCTCGGCAGCGGAACAAGTTCCCCCGGTCCGCCAAAGGTGCAGTTAGTTAACGCTGACACCAATATCACCGCCGCGCAGCACGCCGGAGATCGTCTCTCCTTTGGGTCGCACAACCGCATGGCACGGCCCTTTTCGGCATCTGAACCGAACTCCAGAGTCCAGTCCCCATCTCCAGCGGTGAGCCCCCCTTCCATTACGCGCCTGCGCTCTCCTCCCCTTCTGCAAAGTTCTTCCTCTGCCATGGCAAACGAGCGTCCCCGCCCCAGATGCTCAGGGCCCGGAGGGGCAAGTTCCCACAATCCTTTAGGTCTAACTCTGAATATTCCCGAAGCGTCGGCGGCAAGTCTTCCAACTGGGCCCGCTTCCTCACGTGCGAGCCCTCAAGTCCTCTCGCCGCCAGCTATCGGTGTGTCAGTTTGGACTTGCAATGTCACAGCGCCCCGACCCAGAAATCCCCAATTTATCTCCCCTTCTCGCTCCGTGTCGACTTGTTCCGGTCAAACAAGTTTGGAGAAGGCCACTTCTGCCCTACCGCACGGTTCAAGAGCTGGATCCCCTCAGGGACACGCCCTCCAGCGGTCTCTCTCCAGCCCATCAGACACCTGCCAAATCCCAGCTCAGAGTGAACCCGGTGACCCGCGTGACTCCTGGTCCGGGAGTAGCCCGAGGTGTCTTGGCTTTGACCGGCAAGAGTCTGGTTTGGCCAGCCCGAGGAGCGGGTGGTCCTCCTGCGGTGGTTCAGCGACTTGCCTCAGCCCTCGAGCTGGACTTCAGTCACCGGTCTCTCCTGGGAGGTTCACCCCAAGGAGGAGCGACTTTGGCGGAGAGCATTTCAGCGGCGAACCTTGGCTGGATGGACAGCTACTCTGCAACAACTGCAACGCACATGGGGGCTTCTATACCAGTGGGACCTCCACCGCCATCCCCTCTACCTCTCCATTGACCTCCCTCGCGCAATCCCCCTGCTCCTCCATGGCGGTGGATTGGGAAGATCCAGAGCTGGGACAGGGGAGCTGTCGCAGCCAACTGATTTGTGCCTACATTGGCAGGCCTCCGCCAGAGGCGAACTTTGCCTCCTCCCGCCTGGTGCGGTCTCCGCCTCCGGCCGCCCGCCGCCAAATCTACCGGGCCCACGTGCAGTCGCCTCCCCAGGCCACCGACGTCGGAGCTTCTGCGTCGTCACCGGCGACCTTTGCCCGTTCGTCTCCGAGCAAAGTGCCTCAGCAGAAGCCGAGCTACGCCACCACCGTCAACTTGCAGATAGCTGGCAGCGGTCGAATAACTTCCTTCAGCACCGCCCACGTGAGCGTGAGCCAGACGCCGCCAGGTAGACCCGGACGCGGAGAAATTCACAGCGCCAGACGAGTAAGCATCAATGGACTGTCGCCCGTTCCTTCTCCGCTTCCTCAGAACTGCGGCCAGCTCTGAGAAACGCCATCGGAAAGAAACAGCGTCTTTCTCCGAGGGCCACGTTGGATTGTGTTCATACTTTGAGGACGATGGGGTGACGCGAGAGCGCAGGATGACTTTTCCGTAGAGCCTCGACAATGTGGAGTACATGTGAAGTCTTCACTTTGTTGCTTTCTACCCAAAGTGTAAAAAAAAACAAAAGAAGGTCCCCTGTCCAACACTCGCTGTACGCAATCACATTTACGTCTCGTAGCTATCGTGAGTCATATTATGATTATTTGTACTCTTAATGAATCAGTAACCATTTGTAGTCATTGTGTAGCTTATTTATGAATTCTCCTTGGCACTTAGCAGCAGACGATTTGCACGGCGTGCTGAGATCTTTGGCATGTTTGCGTTGGAGGCGACGTGTCCGCAACTTTCAGACCAACTGGGCTCAGACGTCAGCTTGACAGTTTCTAATTCTCGACGAGTACGCAATGGAACTCGGCGACCGCCTGCGCTGCTGAGCAAATCTCTCGACATTTGTCAACATCTTCTTACTTTTGGGGGAAATACCGCATTGGAGTGTCCCTTCCCGCGTGGAATCGGCTTGAGTCCCGAAAGTGTAAGAGCAACGATGCATCGGGAATGTTTGCGAAACACTGTCAGACGTTGCCTTCCAAATGGACGTCCTCGCTTTGTCATTCGCAAAATAAAACATATCCACAAAGTACAATGGTACCTTGGCTGACCAGTTTAGTTTGTGCGGTGACCGAGCTTGCAACGCGATTGACTCGGAAAGATATCCAAGTGGTCCCAGTGAAATGATTTGAAATACCAATAATCCCCCTCTCCGAAAACACCGCCGTTATGTTGCTGGTGTTGTTGTTGTTGTTGTTATTTTAATTGCGCTGTATTAGGGCTGTGCAACTCTCCAATAAAATCAGATTCGCTACGTGTTTCGCTACATGGATGGTCCATCTGCGTGTGCCCCGGTAACGTAAGAACTCGAATCAGTTTGTCTGGCTGCGAGCATCTGGGCGTGAGTAGTGGCCGACAGCAGGTGCTTGTGAGTGTTTGTATTTGTGCGTTTCCCCCCATTCAGTGTGGCTGCGGACCTGGAGCTCGCTCGTAACACCAAACGACATCTAGCCATTGGCCAAACTGCTCACTCGGGATGCTGTCAAGGTAAGACTGTAGTACACAATCTTAGTTTGCTTTGCTTCTCAACAATGATGGGGCGGTGCGGTCCTGTGGATTTGGGAGCTGAGGTCAGTTTTTGTGATGATGAGAGGCTGCTTTGCTTGGTGGCAAATCAGGTTGGCTGCGTTCATGCCCTCAACGGCGCAAACAGCCCTTTTTGAAATGCGCCGCCTCGCGTCTGCACGCGCCGTCCCCGCCGCAATCGAGGCCGAAGAATGCATTTCAACGCCCAAGTGTCCGTCCAGTCCGTGTGAGCATGGCGACGTGTGATCTGACGCGCACGGGCAAGTCAAAGGCGATTGCGTCGACCTGCCCGACCTGGTGCGGCACGCGCGGAGGCTACTGCCGAATCGATGCTTGATGCGTCGGGTGTCAACATCAAAACAGTGATTTGTTGTTTTGCTTTACTGTTGTACAGTGTATATATTAGTTGCTCCATGTACAGCACTTTGTGTGCAGCGATGGCTGTTTGAAAAGTGCTCTATAAATACGTTTGAGTTGAGTTGAGATTTTCGCCAATTTAACGTGTGGGAGCTGTAATTGTCGCTACATTTTAAAAAGGGAACTATGAGTCAAGTGTCCGACGCTAAACAAAAGCGCGGCGACTTCTCCTCTTGAGAAGCTGTGACGCCAATGATTGGTCGCCAGCCGACTGCCTGGCGACCAGTCTGTCGTCAGTCTACCTGTGCCTCGTGGTTGACTGTGGACCGTAGTCAGTCCAGCAGAGTTGCAGATCATTTGAGGAGGAGGGAAACATCTCGAAGAGTTGGACACCTGTGTCATACAGCTTGGCTTTAGATTGACGGCCACCCGTCCGTCTGGTGTTTGTTTTGACTCGTCCTTCAGCTGATTGGCAAGCGGCGCATGACTTTTCTGGATCTGATGAGCTGGCGACCAGTCCACTGGACTGAAATGGTTATTTATCTAACATAAAGTTCGGCCAAGTTCGAAAGTCGGCTTGCGTAAAGCACTCAAGAGATCTTTGTGTGGTCATGCTGGTCCGCGGGTCTTCGTCGTCCGGGAAGACGACGACGCGCGCCGAGTCGTGGGAAAGGAAGTCGTTGCGGTCGACGAAGAGGAGGAGAGACGCAAAGCCGAGAGGCAAAAGGAGGCGGGAGAGACATTTTACCCATCCGCAACTCGGCTCGGAAGCAGACGGGAGCCCTCGCCTTTTGCAAGAGTCACCCCCCGCGTCCCGCCCCCC